GCACTCACAGTGCAGAGCCTGATGTGGGGCTTGAACTCACAAACCGTGAGATCGTGACCTGAGCTAAGATCAGACGCTTCACCCACTGCACCACCCAGTTGCCCCCCTCCCCCCTTTAACAGGTCAAACCTTGTTCTTGTTTTGACTGTTTTGCCACAGCCCGGCCCTCCTTCCCCTGGGACGCAATCCTGGCATCCACTGCGGTGGTGCCAGCGGAAGCTCTGAGTGTCCTCACCAAATGGTAGAGAAGCCCCCTGTGCGGCTTCTTCGGGGATTCTTTGTCTTTTCCCGTCAATTGTGGAGAGAAATATCGTTCACGATATTTGCAAGTTTATTTTACTGAATCGAAATAGTATTATTGACTTAAAATTTGTGCTTTGAAAAAACGATTTTAAAAAAATGAAGGTTGTCTTGGAATAAGCGTATTTCAGTTATCGTCTCCCGCGCCACGTCTCGCATTCATCTCAAAACGCAGCGTGTCTGCCGTGTCGCGCCTCCTGCAGCAACTAGGGCCCGGTCTCCACGCCGTGTTGGCGTCGTAGAGCTCGTATTACAGGTCGTGGCTTAGACAGGCACTCGGTCGGGCCCAGCAGCTCACGCGCGGCCGGCTGTCGCCACACATGTTCGGCGTCTTATTTTCGAGGCTTAGGTAACCTGTCAGCCGCTCTAACGCGTGTTCCCTAGGGGCGGTTTGTAAGGGGGAGTCTTTCTGTCTTGAGCTGGGGCTCTGCCTCTCCGCTGCCCTGTCGTGCACACGGGCCAGGAAATAGTGTTAATTTACACATACGGTTTTAAAATCTGACGGGGCTTAGAAGTGGTTTATTCCATTTCTGCCATTTTCCACGTGACGAGGCCGTAAAGCCAGGCAGACAGGCGTGCCGGTGACCGTGTGGCGCGGGCCGCGTGACAGGCACCCGGTGCAGGCCCGTGGGTCAGGGCTGGCCGTGCGTGTGCACACGCCTGGCTGTGCGCGTGGGCCTGTCGGGGATCACCTGTGTGCTTTTCATCCGGTCCTTGAAGGTTACAGAAACCCTGCTTCTAAGGCACACTTGAGGGCGCCTGGGGGGCTCAGTCGGTTAAGCGTCCGACTCTTGGTTTTGGCTCAGGTCATGATCTCACTGTCGTGGGTTCGAGCCCCACGTCGGGCTCTGTGCTGACGGCATAGAGCCTGCTTGGGATTCTCTCTCTCTCTGCTCCTCCCCCGCTCATGTGCCCTGTTTCTGTCTCAAATAAATCAAACTTAAAAAAAATAAGAAAAGTAAAAATAGCCTTCGAAGTAAAAAAAAACTCTTAACCCCTATCATTTAATATGATAGTCTTTCTCTAACGGGCATAATCCATATCCTTACTTGAAGGTGAAATGACGGCGAACATACAGGAAGTTTACAAGGTCCTTGGGTTTTGCAGCTTTGCCCGGAGCCCTCTCCTCCGATCCCGGCTCTAGAGAGGCTCTGTCTGCTGCCCTGCTCAGAACCTGTGCCTGCAGCGTGGTCTCTGTGCTGGTACCTGGGACTCCAGCCAGGTTGGGGCGGGACAGTGAGTGTCATTTTCCACTCAGGAAAACATATCGGCGGGGCACCTGGGTGGCTCAGTCGGTTTAGCGTCCGACTTTGGCTCAGGTCATGGTCTCGTGGTCTATGAGTTTGAGCCCCACGTGGGGCTCTTTGCTGACGGCTCGGAGCCTGGAGCCTGCTTCGGATTCTGTGTCTCCCTCTCTGTCTCTGCCCCTCCCCTGCTCACGTTCTGTCTCTCTCTGTCTCAAAAATAAATAAAGATTAAAAAAAAAAAAAGTATTGGTTCATCACTGTCATGTATTCATTCATTCGTTTACTTGTTTTTAATGTAGAGGAAGAAACTCTCAATATAATTTATTGTCAAGTTGACTGCCCTACCATGTATCCAGCGTGCTCTTGGTTTTGGGGGTAGACACCCGTGGTTCGTCGCTCACTTGCTCATCGCTGTTACTTAACCTTTCCACGTGCGTTTGTGAAACACTAGGAACTTCCTCAGCTGGCCGCTGCAGTGAGATGCTGAGAAAACTATTTGCGCTTGTGTTTCTGTCTTCTAGGGGCCCAGAAGACACCTGTTTTGAGTTTGGTGTATTTCCTGCCATCCTGAGTTTCCCACTGGATTACCCATTAAGTCCCCCAAAGATGAGATTTACCTGCGAGATGTTTCATCCCAACAGTAAGTGCTCTGGGGAGTGGCTTTGATGGCACCGGCGAGGCACGGGGTTGTGTGCGTGTGACAGGTGCCCTCAGCGATGGTGCCACATGGAAGATGCTGTGTATGTTTTGAACTTCCGTCACTTAGTCATGGTGGGATTGACATCAACCGAAAAGCAGGGTAACGGAGATAAAACAAAATGCGGACCTAACACTGGGTGCCATTTGACCCGCCCGCTCCTTCCGGTGGGCCGATGAGAGCACGTGAGCGCGGGCGTGCGCAGAGCGCTTTGCGGGCCTCCAGCACGGTGTGGTGTTCGACAGTGGGGGCTGGTCAGAGCAGACTAGGTTTGCAACAACAGATGCCTGGTTAGTCCGTATGTTAGAGCGCTATAGAGAGATTTTAGATGCTCTAGAATAATATTTAATGATATGGAATGGTATTTGGTCTATACCGAATGAGAAAAGCAGGTCACTAATCAGGCTTATTACAGTTTACTTGTTTTTTTTCTTAATTTTTTTTTAACGTTTATTTATTTTTGAGACAGAGGGAGACGGAGCATGAACAGGGGAGGGTCAGAGAGAGAGGGAGACACAGAATCCAAGTCAGGTTCCAGGCTCTGAGCTGTCAGCACAGAGCCCGATGCAGGGCTTGAACTCACGGATGGTGAGATCGTGACCTGAGCCGAAGTTGGACGCTTAACCGACTGAGCCACCCGGGCGCCCCTACAGTTTACTTTTTTGAAAAAAAATTCACATGTAGATATGTATAACTGGAAGTGTAACACGAAAATGTTGAAAGTGATTCTCTTTCCAAAATGGGATCTGTTTTTTATTTGTTTCTGGTTAATCTTTTTTCTAAAATAAACGCGTACTTTAAGAAGAGGGGAAAATACGGTCACTAAAGAAATTCATTGGACTTAAGTTGGAAAAGTGTCTAGTAGCAGGAATTGGAATTCTTCAATAGCTGTGGTTTTTATTCCTGGAGAATTAGTAAGAAAATATGTTGTATTTTAAGTGATCATATTCGGATAATATTCCTCTTTATAAGTGATTAATTTTACTAAAAATCGTGATCTTAATAGTTGAGAAGAAAAGTAAGTAAGATACACCGTTTTGGAGAAATATTTTATTTGAAACGAATTCCTTTTCCTATGCTTCTCTGCACATAAGATAGCTGACGGCTAATTGAACTCATGAGAGCATTTCTAGAACTTTCTGAGCCTTTGACACCTCTCAGCTTACAAAGGAGTCCACTTTGCACGGTCTCCTCTGGCCCGCACCTGCCTGGGCACCTCCTCTTGGGAGAGCTCTGCCCAGATCCCGCCCCCCTCAGTGAAGGGTCTCAGGATTGCCCGCCTGGGGAAGCGCTTCCTGCCGCTCCTTTGAAACTTCTCACTACACTGATGATACATGTGGGTCATCAGTTCCCTCCTCAGAGAGATCGTTTTCAAGTGCTCTCTCATGTTAATGCAATTCTGCGTGCCTGGTAGGTACCCAGGACTACCCCTTCCTTTGCGAAGGCTGGCCACGAGGTGGCAGGGCTTTGAGGCCGGGTGACGCGTGCACGTGGGCATCCGTCACGCTGCTGTTGACTTTGGCGTGTGTCCAGGGTGTTCTGTAATGCAGAAGTAAAAATACGTGACAGTAGATGGAGTCGACTGAAGAAGTCCGCAATTTCAAATCGATTAACCAGAAAACGGAACTATAAAGAGGATTGTGGGCAATTAAAAAGTAATACGATTATATCGAAGATACGCACACTCTAGAACCGTGCTGGTGACGCGGTGTTAGAGGCAGATGTGGCTGTGAGCTGACAGTTTGATATTGTGCTGAGGGGTTGTCACGTTCAGGTAATTCAAGTAGTTTTAAACTTTGGCTGTCCTCTAAGTGGATGGGTGTTATTTCTATCTTGTGAAAATCATTTTTGGGAACTATTTAGGTTTGCCAATGACGTGAATATTGACCAGTCCCTAAATGCTTTGAAAGAATAATGGAGTACATCTACTGAGACTTGCTGGGATACAGGGGTGAACGGATAATAGAAGGTGGGGGCCTTGACCATCACGAGCTGCCAGTCTGAGGGCAGAGGTGAACACGGTTGGACGAGTCCTACAGGTAAATAGGAAGTCACACCAGGAGGCCAGGGAGGGGCCCCGGGCTGGTGGTGGTCAGGCTCACGTCTGCAGGAAGAGCCGTGGGAGTTAACCCAGTGACGTGTGAGAGGCGGAAGTGTGTCTGACTCGTGCAAAGGCCCCGTGCAAGGAGTGAAGGGGCCAAACGGGTTCAGGCCCTCTGGCCAGGAAGAAGGATTCTGATACTTGTGCGGGAGGAGTGGAGATCCACTGAGGGAATCAGAGTGAGGGAGGGAGTCGTGTGGCCAGTGTGGTCTTGGAAGAGTCACTGACTGTGGTGTAGAGGACAGACTGCAGGGCTGGGACACAGACGCGGCGGCCTGGGGAAAGAGAGGCCAGCGGTGCGGAGCCGAGCACAGGCGAGACGAGGGAGGGATTGCAGGGGGGGCCCGGTGAGAGAGGAGGCGGCAGGGACGCCGCCACCTCCGTGTTTCTGGGTTTGTGCTGTCACCGTGTGTTGTGACACACTGTCACCGTTCGGTGCCACCACCTGGAGGAGGTCCGCTGAGATTGGACACCTCACAGCAGGGATGCCGTCCGGAGCCTTGGGCGCCCAGGCCCCGGGCGTGGGCACCGCCGCTGGGCCCCCTGACGCCCCCAACAGCTGCTCACGCGCTCTCCGTCCGAGACGCACCGACTGTAGGCAGCTGGGAGCAGAGTGCCGGGACGGGGATGGATGGACGCACGAGGAATGAGGTGCCACAGGAGGGCCGCTCCGACCCACCCGGGTGTCTCAGTGGTCACGGGGTTGTGAGCTCACGAGCAAAGGGGAATTACTAAAATTCGTCCTCAACTGTCTGTTGTTCGTGTCGTTATAACCGGAAGGCCTTGCAGTTTGACAGTTGAGTGCCCGACTGGACTCCCCGTGTCTGCGTATGCGCTGTGCCGTCTCAGGACCCGCCCTGTGTGCCGGAGGAGTGACGGTGCCTGCGGCACCCTCGGCGGGACTGGAGACAACCGCGAGCCGGAGACGCAGTTCCTCCCCAGACCGTGGGCGTCTGGTTCATGGCGCTGTGCGCTGGGGCGGGTTAGGTCGGACACAGCTGACCTCCAGAGGCGCAGACGGCCATCCGTCTCTCTGTTGGAGCGAGTTCCCTGGAGAAGTCGGGTCACCTTCCTCCTTGGATGGCACGGCCTTCATCCTGGCTCCGTGGACGTAGGTCTTTGCGGCCTCGCTCAGGGCTTTCGGGGCGGAGTTAGGAAAGTCGCTCTGGAACCAGCTCTGGAGGTTACGTGCATTCGTTTGGAGAAACGTCTCACGGCCAGATAATCCTCCCTTTCGTCCTTGGGGATCGAGTGGGGCCTCGTGGCCGTGAGCGTGGCGCCCGGGGCCCGGCTCTGCTCCAGCCGTGCCCGCGGCTTGCCGTCCGCGTCCGCCTCGCCCGCTGTCCGCCGCGGGGCTCACCCGGTGTGTTTTGACCCCACAGTCTACCCCGACGGCAGAGTCTGTATCTCCATCCTCCACGCGCCGGGCGACGACCCCATGGGCTACGAGAGCAGCGCAGAGCGGTGGAGCCCCGTGCAGAGCGTGGAGAAGATCCTGCTGTCGGTGGTGAGCATGCTGGCAGGTAAGGCCCGCGGCCACACGGCACGGCGGCTGCCGCGGTCTCCCGTGCGCTTCGCTCCCGCGTGCGGTGTACGGACGGGTGCGGTTTTCTGCTTCCTCGCCGAATTCTTTGTACCTTCTCGTCCGCGTGTCGCACGCCTGTCGTTCTTTCGGGTCTCAAAGATGCCTTCCCGTTGTGTGTATCGTGTGTTGACAGGAACTAACCGTGCCGCGATCCGCGGGCACCGCGCTCACACGGTGGGTGTTTACCGGGGCGCCTGCTGTGTCGCAGACGCCGGGCCCTGGGGGGGGG